CTTTACATTAACCAAGATCCAGCTGAGGCATTGCACCAATGATCACCGCACTCTGATAACCATCATGTCATCGTTTACAAACTGTGCATTATAACTCTGGTTGGATTTGTTTTGGCTGTTTTTTGTCATACATCAATTGAATGAGCACATTTTAAAAGGATTTTAGTGTTGACGAAGGCACTGCAAAAACTCGTTTGTGCCATTCAAACTGTTTATATTGTGGCAAAGCCTGAGTAATTTCTTTTAACAGATTTGGCTCTCGCTGTAATGGAAGTGTTATTTTTGGAATTGTTTAGTTATCCCAGTTTTTGACACATGAGGTCCGACTTCATGTGCACATTAGTGAGAAATGGATGATGCAATGTGGAATCTTTCAATCTCAGAGGCCAAGTATAACGAGAGTTGGATGTCAGTTCTTCCCCCAACCCCTGACCCCGACTCATCAGCAGCATCTAATAAGACATTTAATCATTCTGAAATGAGTGTTTCCTGCAGGAGGCGAATCCCGCTGCAGTTTTCATAATCAGATGAGCTCAACATTTACAGGCCAACTGTTGCGTCAGTTGCACTCAGAGGTCACATTTTTTCCAGCAAGATCTGCGTTGGAAGAAATGTTTGTGCTAATGATGTGAAGTTTACCATTTTCACTCTGAGGTTCATGGTGTTCAATGGAGCAGGCATGAACTGTATTACTCATCTGTAATGCAAACCATCACTCACTTAATTAGTCAGACCTTCTACTGGTTATTAAAAACAACGGAGTCGGTAACTGACAAAATATGTGCACAGCCTAGATGGGACTGTGCTCAAACAATAGATCTCTTGCTCCTGCAGTGACTTTCCTCCCTGTCTGTCTGCAGAAAGTTTGGCAGAGCTGCAGGCATGAAATGTTTTAAGAGAGAAATGTACTATAAATACCAGTGCTACTTCGCTTTTTGTATGTGGGGAAATGGCAAAGATTGTTGGCTCTCAGCGATGCAGGTGATGCTTTTACCTTGCAGTGTGGTGGGATGGAAGTCGTCTTTCAGTGTATTCTCTTACTCTTTAGGTGCATGTCTGTACTTTGATGTCTGCTGTCTGCTAGAAAATGTTTTTAAAGATGTCTAAATGTGGGGTGTCAGTATTGCAAGACGCAAATGAATAATGCAGCATTGAAGATTTTAAAGGGTCATTTCACACAAAGCGCACAAAATATTTGATCAGCTACCGTTTGGTGTTTATTTACTATTTAATTTCTGGAGACAAGTTGTTGTTGTTGTATGTTTCCCATGCTTCTGGCACCACATATGACATTCCATTCACCACCATTATATTGAGGCCACTGTAGAAATCTCAGAAACCTCGGCACATGAAAAAAAAAAACTATCTGCAGGGCTGGATACAGTACTACCAGAGGTTTTGTGATCTGGCTGAACTGAACCTTTACATTTAAATTCTATGAGTGAGGAAGGAGACTAGATTATAACATGAGCTCAGACACCTAAATGATCCTACCAGTCATTCATTCCTTCATATATCTTATAAGCTTTTTCATGTATCGTTCATATATCGTATCACATCTTCATATCTAAGCTTGTTTCTAAGTAATTTTGCAAAGTCATTAATTCATCAGTGCTGAGTATGAGCACCAGTGTCAAGCTCTCAGACAAATACCTTGCATCACTTACGGTCCCATAACTGACAGCGATCAGGAACCTCTTGACATGTGAATCATTCATACCTCCCCATAAATAATGAAACCCTGGCAGCCAGTTAGCAGCACCTGCAACTTGAAACACTAGTTCATGAAACACAATCTTTCACCTTGTAAACTAATGTGTTTCACCTGCCTCAGCCGGGGCGTCTGGCTTCATCGCAGACAGGTAGACAGGTAGAGGGAACAAAACTTCTACTTCTTTCAGCCTCCCCCCTCCTGACCTTGCTTCCTCTTCCCCCAATGAATCTTTCACCAAAGCTCTTTGATATGCTCCTCTCCCACGGGAGCCTGGGTAATGCAAACTGGAAGTGTGAGGCATAAGTATTTCTCTACACTGCACTTCTGCCCTAATTAGTTCACTCCTCAGAAGTGGGCTTTGCATTATTTACACATCAAGGGGACACAGAGGATGGGAAATAAATATTCATTATTTGTTGGCTTTGCCCCGGTCCCTCGACTCAGCCTCAAGCTGAGTCGAATGCCACTGTCACTGTGGCTTGTTTGTGCAGCTTCTGCATTGCTGGTGCCCAAGAAATGATCTGTCTTTCATAATTATTTCCAGTCATGCAGACGCCAACTCAGAATCGGTTTGATAAGTGGACAACATCCTTATTCGGCCACAAGCAGATCAGATGAATGAGTGGAGACTTGGCCTGCGGCTCTTGGTGCCATAGTAGTAAACATTCATCCATCCCTCCATTTTCTATACCGCTCAGTCCCAAATGGGGTCACGGCGGGCTGGAGCCAATCCCAGCTGGCTGCGGGCCACAGGTCGCCAGACCATCGCAGGGCTTAGTAGTAAACAGTAAGAAGCATATTCAGTCGAACTCTGACACCATTTCCGTCACGTCTCCCTCAAGGTTTTTCTTCTGGATCATTGTTAATCAGCTAAATCTTTTCCAAAAGAGGTCCATGACAGCTGTTAGGGAGCATTTTCTGCTGCTGTTGTTTGCACGGCATATTTGTAGGAAGTCTGCTTTACCCTGTCAGTAGCCAGGTATGAATAGAATGCTCTCTGACCCCCCACCTTGGTGTTTGTATGGCCTTTACGCCCATTGTCTGCTCTTTAAATGCCAGCCAGGAAGCTCTTGTTGCTGCACCCACTGTAGACTTCTGGCATCTGTTCTTTTCCTATTTCCTATTGCATCTCACTAACACATAGCTTTGTCCTTGTATGTTTCAAAGGGAGGTGGGGGCATGATGCCTGGCACAAGAATTACCATAATCACTGTCAACATTAATAGAAATCCTATCACTGGAGAATTTAAACACAGCTTTTCCATATTTATTGAAGCAATAAACAGAGAATATGCAGCAAACTGCCTGTTATGATTGAAAAACGAGCCGTGTTTACTGGCTTTGAAATGCATATTTGGGTTAGTGGATGAGGTGGTGGGAACCGTTGTGGGATGTGAGTAGAAATGTAATATCGCCACATTAGACACAGAACATCTCAAATGATGAATGTCTCACTTTCACTATCTACAGAGTTTCCCCATACTCTCAGACATTTGCACAGCTGAGCGTGTTCCACTGCTTCTCACTGTCCTGCTATAGGTGGTTTGTTTGATTCCCACTGGAACTGCAACACTAAACTTATTGAAATGTATTTAAATATAGCTTGCTTGTTTCATTGTTATATTTTTTAATTTTAGTGCTCTTGTGGTTGTTTTTTATGTGCGCCATGCCAGTCAGGTGACTTGTGGCCTGGCTCGTGATTGGTCTTCCAGCTCCTTTATATGAAACTAAGTGACCTCGCCAAAACCATGAAAACACAAGAAAGGACATTCAAAGGGCCATCCACATACTTTTGACCAGTTAGTGTATAAGCAACAAGCTAGGATGGTGACGGAGTTTTCTGAGTGTGGTGGGAAAAACTTAAGTGGGCGCCATGTGGTCTTTAGTAAGATGAAGAAAATGAGATAATATGTCACTTTGATTGACTTGATATTACATAATCTATTTAAACAATTGATCTAATCATAGGCTTCACTCTTACTGCTCTATATGGGACAAAGTTGATCCACATGGGGGGTCTGTGGTCTACAGTAATGTGTGTTTATTTAGGTTCCTAAGACATAAAAGTGAAAATCCCTGAGCTGCAGTTAGTTTGCTCTACTTTTACACTCACTCTAAGTCTCTTTGGAAAAGAGCCTCAAGCCAGTTTCTAGACTGTGCAGTTTCCATGAGCTCCAGTGACAGTGGCTTTTATGAGGTCTACCATAGACCCACAGTACAGTTCTATAAGTTCATTTATGCCATTTGAACAAGTGGTTATTGTATCTAGATTGGCACTAAATCTCTTTCTGTTGTTGCCACCACTGTTCTACAATCATCACAACAAACAGGTGGTCTTGTTTGTTCGTCAGCTTACTTGTTCATTTGAACTAATGAGCTGTTTTAATGCATTCATCTTGGATTAAATAAGTTTAATGCAACTTATTTAATGGTAGCTTGAATTCAGCAGTCAGAAGCAGAGATGGCAGTGACTCCTACACCTCTAGCTGCCCAGTTACTTGTACTGCCCCACAAAGTTACTCTTAGCTTTGTGGGGCAGTACAAGTGAATGCTGTTTCTTCTTTAGCTTTCTTGTCCACCTGTCCAACGCATGCGCTAGTTAAATGCATTCATCTTTAATGAAACAATTTTAAAGATGTGATTGAAATGCAGCACTGCTAGCTATTCTAGTTACTTTTTAACAGGACCCGTGCATCTGGTGTCACCTTTTCTTCATTGTGGTTACATTTAGCCGCTGCTGTGTTAATGTGATGGACCAAATTAGAGGAAAGAGGAAAAAGTACATAAATGAACTAAGGCTCTCTCATTAACAAACCAGCCACTGCAGTTTGGCTTCTGCCACTTGTCTAGTTTTGTGAATGTTATATGTTGTTTTTCCCCAGTAATAACACATTTCTGTGACATAATCATTGTTATAATGTGAGGTAGGATGCCAACATGTCTGATTCTGGACTCTCAGTTTTGACCAGTACTACTGTCTGTTAGCTTTGTAGGGCAGACTAGTTCTACTTTTAGATCTAGACGTGATCTTTTATAAATTTATAATTCTGTATCCTTAGTTTAGGCCTGTCAGGTCAGCATACAACGCTTCATCCTTCACAGTTTTCCCTCTCTGGTCTCTCTGGAGTCACAGAATGCTAACTTTCCTCCTTCAGGTGCAGCTTCTTCATCACCTGAAATTCAAGAAGATGGACATGTTTTTTTTCTTTGTGGTGATCTCAACAGCTGTAGCAGGCCTGTTTTGGCAGCACTTTGATGGAAACTGATGTTTATTCTTCCTCTGCAGGTGGAGATCACGCTGCAGGATGTCAATGACAACCCACCTGTTTTCCCTAATGATATTCTTGATGTGACCATTGAGGAGAATGTTGGCAATGGCTTCAAGATAATGCAGCTAACAGCCACGGACGCAGACGAGGTAATGGCTCTCACAGTTTCTGTTTTGTCTGACAGTGGTTTTCTAATTTTCTGTGCCCGTTTTCCACTCCACTGCTGTTAGAATAGATATCTTGGGAGTGATTAGAATTAAAAGTATGCTCTAAATCTTTGGTCCTACAGTGAGGAAACCACTGTAGATTCAAATGGGTTTTTAAGGCCAACGTGTCTGTCAGTGTTTTAATAGGGTTAAACATTTTGTATCTTTACCTTTGACTATTTTTATGCTAAAAAATATCAACATTTTGTGGCAGGAAATTCACAGCATGTAAATTGAAGATGTGACTTTTGGAAATTCTAAGGAACTGTTCTAAAAGTATTTTTCGACATTTTACTGACTAACAACAAACAAATGCAGCCATCATGATTTTTTTCTCCCCTGGAAACAGAACTGTCATTTCTAGTCTCGTGTGTTGACGCTATCTGAGACGTGTTGAGACCATCTGTGTCACAGAGCCTGAAGGAGCACAGCCAAAGACTGATTTTTCATTAGTCCCTCCACCTTCTCCATAGCACACATTACATCACCGACTTCACTCTCACTTATTTAAAGGCTTTGTCTTTAGCTGCTTTAGGCAGGATATGGCCGTCAAATCCTGGAATGAGTGAAACGCTGGCCCCGCGGCCATCTCCCACGCCAGGCCAATGGACACAGTTGAAAGGAATGGAAAGGCCAGGCCATAGAGGGGAATGAGATTAGTAAGGACTATGGAGTCAAATCTAGTGTTAACTTACGGGGCCACACATTTTGTATTGCACAGCTGTTGCCTCACCCCCTTGTCTTATCTTTGAATGTGATACAAAGTCCCATTTTTCGTTCGTCGACCTACCGTACTACCTTGACTATAAATCTCAGACCTGAAGGCAGGTCAGTCTTTTCATTAGGGGGATTTTAAGGACACCATTTGATAATTTTCTTATTCAGTGCCATAGTATTCACGGCTTTGAGCTTTAAAAGTTTTGCACATGGTTTTATAATCAAACTGTGCAGTTGTTCACTTTTTCCTCAGGTTTGAAGTTAAATGGAGAGCCAGCTTTAGCAGTGGTCCGTAAGATGAACCCTGAGGCTTTTAGTCATTTGTAGAAAATTAGGCATTATTACACATGAAATCATTCTCCAGAATGATCAAACCTATAAACCTTTTTGCAAGGAAAGACTGACTGAAAGCAATTTAGCTTTCAGCAAGAATTAAAAAAAAAATTTAAAAACATTGTAGAGGAGCCGAATCTAGAGATGTTTACTCTAAACTTCAGCACTGCAATGAATAGGTTGCTAAATAGAAACATGTACTTCATTCCAGCTCTCATTTGGAGCCAGATATGAGGCCAGCCAAGTTTGTGCCCACATCCTTACACTGGAAACTGACTCTAAGTGTACAGAAAGCGTTGGAGCCCTTGTTGAGAAAGCCACACGTGTGAGCCAGTGCAGAGTAGCCGAGCATGCAAGCTGCTGGCCAGCTGAATTCAGACATCATAATGATCCTGCCAATTACCTGGGCTACATGTGGGATTCATGTGGGAGGGCATTGAAATGCTCTCTCTGTTTTCTGCCACGCCCATGTTCACCCCGAAGAGGAAGGGGTTGCACAAGGGAAAATCAATATAAAACTGCTTTTCTGTGTAATGCAGGATAAACCTCTCTGAAAATGTTCCTCACCTCATCTGAAAGAGATATTCTGGCTTTGGAGCTTTTGGAAATACCACAAATGTTCTATTACAATTCTATTTTATGTAGAAAATATGTCACAGGTAAAATCCTTTCTTCATGAAGAAAGTGCAGCAATTGGTGCTTTAGGAGAAGTCTTTGAAAGTAAGTATAGCCTTCAAATGAACTGTAATATGTTCCAGAGCCCTGCCAACCCACTTTGCAGGTATATTTCTTGCCACATTTTACGGTTGTGAAACATATTCACACACCACCAGTGCAGTCGCTCAGGATGTGTCTAACATTCTAAGACTTTATCTTTAAGCTCTTTGTTACAACAGGTTGTTTGTTTTCTTGCTCTGTGCTGTTGCATACAGGAAGCTCTCTCTCTCCCCAGCGGCACTGTTTGCTTCACACCTTTTACTTCTCATAAGAACTGTGTGTTCCCAAAAACCACTCATCTGGTAAATGAGTTTTCTTCTGCTAGTACGCTTTACTCCCTGGAACGCTGCTGTTTAATTGGTCAGCCCATTTTTCTTTGCCCCAGCGACCTACCATGTCTTTGGAGAGCAGTCCAACTCTTGACTGAAGGTCAAGAGGGCGACCAGTGTTGATACACAATTGCATGTTTGTGTGTGTGTGTGTGTGTGTGTGTGTAAGCAACTAGTCAGGGAAATTAGTGCACTAAAATGAGAGTAGGGGTATTTTTATATGTGTGTAACTGCTTATCCATTTTCATAATGTGTATAGTAGATATGTGTGTGTTGGACTGTGGCCTACTGTAGAAGGAACCCCTGCTCATCCTCTCGCACCTTCCTTGCTCTGCCTTTGAACCATATCTGAAAATTAATTGGCAAACCACAGGTGTTGAGTTCCAGACTGAAGCCCAGGTGGCTGATGGGATTGCCAGATCTGGAGCTACTGTTTGATGACAGCAGGGTCCATAGATGAGCACAACCTCATGCCGTCTTCCTCGTCTCCCTCATTTTTTTTTTACTCTGCCTGGATCTCAGACCAGGCCTCTGGTAATGCAATGAGAGTCAAGGTTGAGAAGCTGGAGGTTTTATCTGTCATGGAAACAGGACATGGGAAAGCGATAAGAGTGAGTCATGAACTTAGCTTCAAAATATTGACTCCATCTAAAGCTTCTGGGCTTGTTCAGACTGGTTAGTGCATTAGTATTTCTGCACAAAGG